CTCAGGTGTATGTGGCTGGCACTTTAGCCGATTGAGCCACAGGCACCAAGCCTATAATATCCTATTAATTTGGAATCAGCAAGAAGTTTTTAGGACATATCTTAAGAGATCTGGGGTTTTGTTTTATTTTTTGGAAGTAAAAGCAATTGGCTAGTCTAATCTGTGCTTACTTTGGGAGGGCCTTATAATTAAACAGTTATATGTCCTTTTGTTAAATGTTTGACAAAATTAATTAAATTTCCAATTAAAGCTACCTTAAGGCTTCATAATGGGGAAGACAGTAACATCTACCATTTGCATGGCTATATTCTGCGCCACGTACTTTACAGGGATTATCTCATTTAATTCTCACAGACATGCTGTAATTAAAAGTGAAAAGCAGTAACTCACTCTACAGAGATAGGGAAATCCTGGCTCAGAGAGGTTTGATCCCTTTGACAATATCACACAGCTGAGACTCCAAGAAGCTGGAATTCAGGGGCAGTCCTATTGGCCCTTGGTGTGACTCCCTGAAAATTCAATATCAAAATTCTTATTAGAAGTCAGTTCTGTTTGCTCTGAGGATATCTTAAACTGTGAAAGTTTCCCGGCACAGCTTTAAATTCCACTTTGAACTCTAAATTTGAATGTCCAACAGACATCTCTCATGTAGCACTTCCAAAACGGAGTTCCTTCCCTAGTCTATCCCATCTCAGTAAATGGCAATTTGGTTGTACCATTTTATATCCAGTCCAGTGAATCTGAGGCTCTAGCTTACAAACACAGTCAGCCCTCTGTATCCACGGGTTCTGCATCCGTGGATTCAACCAACTTCAGATAAAAAATATTCAGGGAAAAAAATGAATGTTTGCATTTGTATTAAACATTTACAGTTTTTTCTTATTATTATTCCCTAAACAATAAAGTATAACAACTAATTACATACCATTTACATTATATTGTTATAAGTAATCTAGAGGTAATTTAAAGTATATGGGAGATATGAATAGGTCATGTGCAAATACTATGCTATTTTATATAAGGAACTTGGGTACTCACGGACTTTGGTATCTGTAGGGGGTCTTGGAATCAATCCCCCACAGATACCAAGGGGCTACAGTGTACCTGGAATTCAAGACCTTTTCTAGGGCGAGTACCTATCACCACTCACATATTTGCAATAGCCTCCTAACCAACTCCTGACTGCCAATCTTGCTGTCCAAGAACCAGATGGTTTGCAGACAGACAACAAGTCAAATCATGTTACTCCTCAGACTTCCAGGTCATTATCTGGCCCTGTAAGACCCTTAAGCATCTGCCTGTTTCTACCTTCCTCCCAAAGGGAAAACAAAACCAACTTTAATCACCCCTACTCCGACCCTGAACCTGCAGCCATTCACCCCTGACCCATTTCTACCTCAGGACACTTGCATTTGCTGTCCCCTTTGCTGAGGATGTCCTTCCCCCATCTGTGCCTGTAACTAGTTCCTTCCCCTAATCAGCAGGAACTCCTCTCACCACCCATATTAAATAGCACAAAGTGAAATGTTTTCAAAATAAAAGAACTGGTGGGGAAGGATGTAATTTAAACCCCTGTGGCTCCCAAAGTAATAAATAGAAAAGTTTCTGTTGAAAGGAAAGATGAAAGAATGAATGAATGTCAGCCCATTGCCCAAGCTATACTCCCAGCTTCCACACACAGGGCAGATACAGATGGCCTGGGGACAGAGGTCCTACCCCATCCTTGGAAACTGATTGCCTCAGTTACCTACCTCGCCAAGAGTGAGGGATTTTAAAGCCGATCAAATTGATGTCACAGTCTGCCTGACAATCTTAAGGATGGGCCTTTTACTTTGCTGGATACTTCAGCAAAGTCCACAGGATCAGGTTTCCTGGGGTTCTACTGGGTAGAAACATACCATGAAATCAGTATCTCTTACATTTACAACATGCCCGTTGAGAACTCTGTGCTTGTTTTATTTTTAAAAATAGAGTTCAAACATTTAATTTTTAATAAGGTGCCAACGTTTACACAGAGCATTACAATAAAAAACCCAACACGTTGCTATGTGCTCGTTCCAACACCAAATGTGAATATATCTCATAAAAGTTGCACGCAGGCTCATTCCCAGCACCTCTAGGATGGCAAATAAATAGTTATTACTGCACTGGTGAAAATGAGGTCTGGTTAATGTTTCCCAAGTCAGATATACAGGCTCCCTCCTTGTGTAAATCATTTCAAAGGCTAGAAGCTTAGCCTGATAAAACACTGCCCATGTGAAATTAAAATGAAAGCGTAATATTACAATTATGTGGTAATTCAATAGTTCTCCTTGGGTTTCTCATCTTTTCCAGTCCAGCATCTGATAATGAATACTAAGCAGAATTTGCACATGTTGATAATTTAAGGTAATCAGCTCTCACCTAAGTGAAACAAACTGCTCTGAAATTTTCAGTTTCTGTGACTTATTAGGGCTCGAAATCTATCTATTTACACATTTTCTCCTTTGTAAGGTCTTTGGAAAGGACTGAATAGAGAACTTTGAGACTGTCCGGCTCAGAGTAACAGCAAGTGCCGAACACTGAGCAAATAAAAGCCACGCGAGCATCTGAAAAACACTCAGAAGAAACGCACGTGTTGCTTCCAGGATCCCCTTTATTTGGTGTCCTACTACAACATGTTTTCTTAGTTAATAGCAAGGAAGAGCAAGAAACAGGTGACGGGCCTCATTGGAGAGCTCTTCTCCATGGCGTACTGATGATTTTTATACATTAAAAACTGATTTAGAAAGAATGCAGAAAAATTCTACAGATGTCTAAAGCCTTTGGTTCTGGAAAAGAAAAAAAATAATTGTGAACGATGTTTATTTTACCTCCACACCCCAGTTCTGTTCATCCCATTACCAGAAGTGAACTTCTGCATTTGGGTACAGCAAACACCCTCAGAATCCCCACCCATGTACTTCTATGGCAGTGACAAAAAGCACGGCAGCATGTTCCTCAGGGTTCCCCATTGGTGACCTTGGCCCAGAGTAAATCATCCCTTTATCCCTTCCATGGCCTTAGCAGGATTAGAAGGAAATTCCGTGGTTTCACTGACCTTTGGCTATCTTTTCATTGTTTCATGTTCCCTTTTGAGGCTGCTTGCTTTAGCTAAAAGGACCTCCTGGATTCTATAAAGCCAGGCTATGACTAATAATCTCTTTCCCATCACAGGCTGGCTCTGAGGGCACCACATGAGAATAAGAAGAGACTACATGAAACAATCTTTAAGACTTTTTTGGATTTAAAGTCTAAGAGAATCCAGTTTCACCTGTAAATGTTCCAAAGAAACCCCAGTAACAACATCAGCAGCTGTTACTCAATGCTTATGTGCTATAAATGAGACAATGAATTTCATTCTATTATAAGACCAAAGATTAAATTCTCTACTATTGCCTGGATATTTCCACACTGACATGACCATTTGATGTTACTTTGGAGGGGGCCAATGAGCTACAGAAACAAATTTTCCACAGTGTGTCAGCAACATCTGACTTAAAATGTTTTAACCTAGAGAAAATATATTTTCGTATATTAACTAGAAGTTTCATAGAAACCTACTTGTAGCTAGGTTCTTATCAAAATTGAAAATTCTTATTAGGGCTAGGAAATGAAGGATTCTGACCAAGAAATCTAGGTCAGAAAAAAAAAAAAGAAGAATTCTAGGTCAAATCTGAAAGAAGGGGTAGGGCGCAGAAAAGTTACAAGAGCATTTGCAAAGGTTCAATAAGACAGTAGACAGGAAGGGCAATGACAGAGACATGAGGATGACATCAAATACAGCAGACATCTTCCCCTCCCAAGGACCAATCCCCCTTCCTTAGTGAGAGTACTGGAATTTCATTCAAAGGGTAATGTGCCTAGATAACACTTTTCTTTCTCGCACTAGGGTTCCACTAGGGGGAGCCACCTGACAGACTTCAAGCCAATGGACATGACCTGAGAGCCTCTGGGAAAGCTTTGGTTTCCCAGTGGAGACATTACATCTTGTTTCTTACCTCTTCCCGCCTCCCACTTAGAAAGCAGACATGATACCCAGTAGTTCAGCAACCATCTCTAAGTACGAGGCAATAAGCCAAAGGACAAAGGGTAAGGATGGTGAAAAAGAAATATCAAAAAGGGGACAGTGCCTGTGGCTCAAGGAGTAGGGCAACGGCCCCATATGCTGAGGGTGGTGGGTTCAAACCCAGCCCCAGCCAAAAAAAGAAAGAAATATCGAAAAGAGTGTGCATCCCTGGTGATATTATGGAAACAGTCCTGGAGTACTCACTCCCATGTTTGTTTTTTTTGTTTGTTTTTTTTTTGAGACAGAGTCTCAAGCTGTCACCCTGGGTCAAATGCTGTGGCATCACAGCTCACAGCAACCTCAAACTCTTGGGCTTAAGTGATTCTCTTGCCTCAGCCTCCCAAGTAGCTGGGACCACAGGTGCCCACCACAATGCCTGGCTATTTTTTGTTGTTGTTGTTGTTGTTGTTATTGCTGTCATTGTTGTTGAGCAGGCCCTGGCCAGGTTTGAACCCACCAGCCCTGGTGCATGTGGCCTGCACCCTAACCACTGACCTATGGGTGCCGAGCCAACCCCGATGTTTCTTAGTCAGCCTTTCACTCTGTTGGGTTTTCTGCTATTTGCAGCCAAATGCACATCTAACTGATGCATCACTAACCAATGACATGAGATGGAAAAGGATGAGGATGACTCTGTGAAAAGGAAGGGACAAAGACTAAAGTGAAAGGATGAGTGGGATCAATCCTATTTACACAAATCATACAGTGGACCTAAGATATAACTTAATGTCTTCCTGCAGAAAAGACAGAAGTCTTCAGTAAAAGAATAAATGTGTCATTAAATTCAAATACAAAGATACCCAATGTTCAATTTGGCTGTATAAAAGTTAATGCTGTCCTCCTGTGCGATGACTGCTAGTATCAAAGTGCACACTTATGCATTAAAACAGGACATTTTGCATCCTACAGAGAAGAGAATGAAACATATAGAGAATCAATTTAGTATTTCCCTTGCAATCCATCTGGAGGAGTTCCCACTGAGAACTCATGTGCCTCACCCTCTCTGCAGCAGTATCTGGTGAGACCTGAGAGGAAAAGTAAGTAGTAACACTGGGTAGCCTGTTCTGACTCTTGAATATGCAACTTGGAAATTAAAGCATGCTTCTGGCAGGCGGGGGCATGCAGGTATGGCCCAGGGAAGTGCCGAGCTAATCAATACTTAAGAATGCACAGGCAACAGCAATAAATAAACGAAGCAAATGGAATGAGGATGCAAATCAATGATCAGGTGTGTACACCCTCAAAATAAGGACGTGCTCCTTTGTACAGGAGGTGACATGACACAGTACTACATGCTCCAGTAATTCATCCTGCAGTCCCAAGATGCTGGTCTTGGATGGGAGAATGCTTTCTTCACACTTATCATGCCAGGAGCCCTGATATTGGTTCAGATGCTGATAGATAAGGCAAGTAAGAGGCTAAGAACAGGGGGAAGAAATGGGATGGTCATGATCAGACCCTCTGGGATATTTACAGCTTTCACTGTGTTCAAATTCAATTTCTTTTTCTTTTCCAACAAAACAAGTGTAAATACCTTTAGTATGATTCAGTAACACAGCAGCAAGACTTCAGGAACTAATAAATAAGGATGCTGAACACCAACACCCCTTTGCCTTTTGTGCTCAAAGCTTCACACGTGTTCCTAAGTTACAAACATCAGCCTTGAGCAGAAGGGGTAAGAGTTTTTTCAACGGGGCATTCATGCTCCGCATCCTCATACAGACCACATCACTTACTCCCACCCACAAGCCCCACAGCAGTTAGGAACTCATTAGGAAACACAGTTTGAAACTCATACGGGGTTAAAGCTATAAAATGCCTACTCATGGATGCTTTTGTCTTTGTTTTTTTAGAAAAGGTTTCATCCTTCTCCCCCTCCTTTCAAACACAGCTTTTGTTTCTGCTGTCCTCAGTGCATGATTTTTCATTGGGATAATGATGCATCATTTGTTTATTTCTTTTCAAATGACACAGTCAGTGTTTTTCTTAAAACAACTGCCACCTTGTTGCTAATTAAACATGATGGATTCGGGGTCCTGGTTTGCCATCTGGGCCATATGTCTCAGAACATCCTTTTTCGTGATGATGCCAAGAAGTCTCCTGGGGAAGAAACACAATAGGGAAAAGAGGTCAACATTGCAACACAGACTCATCCCTGTCCCTAAGCCCCAGTGCCTTTTCCACGTGGGCTTAGGGACAATGTTTCCCAGCTTCCCTTGTGGTTGGTCGGAGCCAACGGTGTGAACTCTGGCCAATGGCCTGGGGGTGGAGATGACAGATGCCACTCCCAGGTCTCCTGCATATTTCCCACACTCTCTCTCTTCATCTGGCAGCCAGAGGTGAGGAATCAATGAAGGACTCTGATGTCACAGAGGATTGACTCAGGAGCTACCAGATTTGAAGACCTGGGTTCCTGAATGACTGTGTGGGTCCAGAGGCCAAGCCTGCTGCAACTCACACTGGATGTGACATGTGAGAAAAATAAACCTTTATTGCATTAGGCCACTGAGATTGCAAGCTTGTTCATTACAGCAATAATCCTACAATAACTAATATATTTTCTTAAATTAATTTTAAAAGAGTTTATGAAAGCCATTGCTAAAACTTGACCACACCACAGAAATTCCAAGTATAAAAAATTTTAAGAAAAAATTAATTTTATTTTTCATTCTATCTTACTGGAAGGATAAACTTTGACACTCATGTCAGACTCTATACAGGCAGTTCCTCAATTACAAACATCCAAGTGACATATGACTGACATGAACAGGTAAATGTAGCTGTTCCAACTTACATACAAATTCAACTCAAGAACAAATCCACAGAAACTATCTCATTTGTAACCCAGGGACTTCATGTATATAAATCACCTCCTCTCCCCAAATTCCATTGCTTTCAACTTATAAAAAACAATGGCACTGGCTCAGCACCTGTGGCTCAGCACCTGTAGCTCAGCAGCTAGGGCACCAGCCACAACACACCAGACTGGTTGGTTCAAATCCAGCCTGGGCCCACCAAACAACAATGACAACTACAACCAAAAACTAGCCAGGCATCATGGTGGGCACCTGTAGTCCCAGCTACTTGGGAGGCTGAGGCAAGAGAATCGCTTAAGCCCAAGAGTTTGAGGTTGCTGTGAGCTGTGACGCCACAGTACTCTACCCTGGGTGACATAGTGAGACTCTGTCTCAAATAATAATAATAATAATAATAATGGCACTTACCAGGGTCCCTAGTATAGGGCCTTCTAGACTGTACATCACACAAGTCCAGGAAACACTATTCCTATCTTTAGTATGATTCAGTAACACAGCAGCAAGACTTCAGGAACAAATAATTAAGGATGCTGAACACCAACACCCCTTTGCCTTTTGGGCTCAAAGCTTCACACGTGTTCCTAAGTTACAAACATCAGCCTTGAGCAGAAGGGGTCAGAGTTTTCTCAGCCAGGCATTCATGCTCCGCATCCTCATACAGACCACATCACTTACTCCCACCCACAAGCCCCACAGCAGTTAGGAACTCATTAGGAAACACAGTTTGAAACTCATAACTGCAATGCAAATAGTGCCCCGTAGAGTGCACATTTATACAACCTTTCACAGCAACCCTTTTTTCATGGTTTCATTAAATGACCACCTTCAGGAAAAAAACATGCCCCTTGGGTCAAGTGAAAGGTTTAAAAGAAGGGGATGTGCGCAACTTTTTAGGGAAAAAGAAGTTCCATTGCCAAGTCAGTTTACAAAATACTATTCAGTGTATCGTTGCCATATCCAGGAAAAGGAGAATGGGGCAGCAAACCATGTCGGTCTCACTTTGGAATACTGCATAGCTATTAAAACGATGGATTTCTTCCCTATGTCTATGTAAAATGATATACCAAAAAATCAGAAAATACAACAGTAATACACCGTAATTTATTTAATTATAGCCAAATTAGTCTAATTTATCTCTTACTAACAAATAGTGAATATGAAGAAGGAATATAGGTATTTAAAGCAGTATTCCAATCAGTTACACTGATTAGTGAAGCTGTCAGGAGAGAGTTCCAACTTTTTGTCTCTGACCACACTGGACCTTAAACAATCTTGGAAAAGTTATTTATTTCTTGTGTTGCCCCTTCCCCTCTACTTCATAAGAACATCTTTAGAAGAGAGGAAAGAAGCAAAAGGGGTCTTTAAAAGCATGCAAAACAAAAAGATCAGTGATGATACGATCATGAAAACATTGAAAAAGTGTCCTGACTCTACAGTGATTTTTTTTTTTTTTTTTATGATACGGGGTCCTCACTCTGTCACTTAGACTGGAGTGCAGTAGCTTGATGCTATCTTGAACTCCTGGGCTCAAGTGGTTCTCATACCTCAGCCTCCCAAGTATCTGGCAGTACAGACACACACCATCATGGCAAGCTGTTTTTTGGTTTTTATTTTTTTTAATTTTTGGTCAGGACAGGGTCTCTTTCTGTTTCCCAGACTGGTCTCAAACTCTTGGCCTCATATGATCATCCAGCCTTGACCTTCCAAAGTGCTGGGCTTACAGGGAAGAGGCTAGACACTGTGCCCAGCTGATAGTGATAATTTTTCAAATAGGAAGGAATACTTGATAAATGTGGAAAGCAAGATAGAATTGGACTATCAATATTTTGCAACCCCCAATGTAATAACTAGTTTAGCCAATGTAATAACTAGTTAAGCCAATTATTGCCAATGGATACCAAAACCATTGAGTAAATGGTTGCTATAAAACAGAAAATTCATATTACCTCAAATTATTGATGTACAAATTATGTACAAAGAGAAAAATGTCCCTTTACAATAGAGGGTTCTGGCTATCACCACTTCACCCAGGTGATGAAGCTTACCATTAACAAAATCAGAAAAGCTGACACTATGAGATCTATGTTGGAATGCTGCCAAAAACTACTTAACCCAAACAGAATCATGAAGAAGCAACTGGACAGATCAAGAATGCAATACTGGTCTGGACTCTTCCAAGAAAATCTATGCCATAAAAAAAAATAAACCAAGGCAAGGAATTGGTCTACACAAGAGAAAAAGAGGCAAAACAACTCACTGCAATGCATGAATCTTGCTGGAATTCTGGACTGAAATTTGAATAGTAATTAGGTATTGAATGATATATTGGGTTGTTAATTTGCAGACTTATAGTTTGGTGATTATGAAGGAAAATGTACACTTAATTCATAATTGCCAAAAATTGGAAGTAACCAACATGCCCATCAATAGGTAAATGGATAAATAAACAAACTGTGACACATCTAGACAACAGAATATTCTTCAGTGATTAAAAAAAAATGAACTATCAGCACTCTGGAAGGCTAAGGCACATAGATAGCCTGAGCTCAGGAGTTCAAGACCAGTCTCAGCAACACACACACTAAACTAAAAATCCCCACACTCCCACACACACACTAAAAATAGAAAAACTAGCCAGGCATTGTGGCAGACACCTGTAATCCCTACTACTGGGGAGGCTGAGGCAAGAGGATCGCTCAAACCCAGGAGGGTGCTGAGCGCTTTGATGCCATGGCACTTGACCCAAGGAAACAAAGTGAGATTATGTCGCCAAAAAAAAAAAGCTATAAGCTATCAAGTCTCAAAAAAGACATGGAGGAAACTTAAATGTACATTGCTAATTGAAAGAAGCCAGGCTGAAAAAATTACATACTGAATGATTCCAACCACATATATGTGACATTCTGGCAAAGGCGAAACTATGAAAACAATAAAAGGCTCAGTGGTTGCCAAAGGTTGCTGGGAGAAAGGGAGGGATAAGTGTGCGGACCATAAGGGATTTTTTTTTTGAGACAGAGTTTCACTTTGTCACCCTTGGTAGAGTTCCCTGGCATCACAGCTCACAGCAACCTCCAACTCCTGGGCTCAAGCAATTCTCTTGCCTCAGCCTCCTGAGCAGCTGGGATTACAGGTGCAGTCACAAAACCCAGCTCCTTTTTTTTTTGAGACAGAGCCTCAAGCTGTCACCCTGGGTAAAGTGCCATGGCTTCACAGCTCACAGCAATCTCCAACTCCTGGGCTCAAGCGAGTCTCCTGCCTCAGCCTCCCAAGTAGCTGGGACCACAGGCACCCGCCACAACACCTGGCTATTTTTTGGTTGCAGCCGTCATTGTTGTTTGGCGGGTCCGGGCTGGATTCGAACCCACCACCTTAGGTGTATGTGGCTGGTGCCTTAGCCACTTGAGCCACAGGCGCCAAGCCACACCCAGCTATTTTTAGCGACAGGGTCTTGCTCAGGCTGGTCTTGAACTCCTGAGCTCAGGCAATCCACCCACCTTGGCCTCCCAGAGTGCTAGGATTACAGGCATGAACCACCTCATCCAGCCCATAACGGATTTTTTAGGGCAGTGAAACTACTCTATGATACTGTAATGGGGGACACCTGACAGCACGAATTGGTCAAAATCCACAGAAAAGTACAAAACTGAGTGTACTATCACATAAACTAGGGACTTTAGCTAATAATCATGTATCAATAGCAGTTCATCAATTGCAATAAATATAACACACCAAGATGGCAGCACTAGAAGGGCTGTGGGGGAGGAGGGGATATACAGGAACTTTCTGTACATTTTGCTCAATTGTTCTCCAAACCTAAAACTGCTCTAAAAATAGAGGCCATTAATTTAAGAAAAGAAAAAACCTTGAGAGGAAAAAAGTGATTGCCTGAAGGGAGAAGAGGGCTGGTGAAAAAGGACAGAGCCAGGGATTGTTGATTCTCGTCCAATCTATTTAAAGCCACTTGACTTTAACCATGTTCATGTGTTACTTTAAATACATTTCTAAAATTTATCAAAATGCAGTAAAGTTGAAGATGTCCCACAGAACAAGATGCTGCTCTACTAACCCTACCAGGCAGTCTGAGTCCTTGTATTAATCTGCTGGGCTGCCATAACAAAATACCCCAAGGTGATGGTTTAAACAACAGACACATGTTCTCATAGTCCTGGAGGCTGGAAGTCCCAGATTGAGGTGCCAGCAGGGTTGGTTTCTCCAGAGGCCTCTCTCCTTGGCTTGTGGTTAGCTGCCTTTACACAGTGTCCTCTGGGTGCACATGCCCCTGGT